ACATATTTGGTTTCTCTAATATTGAAACATTCCCTCATCCCCACAATGAAGTGGGTATCAATATTACCTTCACTTAAGAGATGCAGAGGTTTAAACAGAAAGGGTGAGCCTTATTTTATTTTATTTGAGTAATTCCCTCCTCCAAAAAGAAATCAAACTTAGGAATGCTATACGAAACAGAAATTTGGTTTCAAGAACATGTGGAAATAGAGGCTACTTAAGCAGTATAGTGAGGGATCACAGACGAAGTGTGTGTTTAGAAGGATGGAGGGTTTGGAGAAGGAGGAGAAAGGAACACTTTATCTGTTTAAATACTGTTTCAAAACAAGAGACCATATACTTGGCAGCCAGCAAATGTGCAGTTATCCCTCTTGAGCTATGGAACTGTTGCTTATTGGGAGAGAGAGGTCACCAGTGTAAAAATGTCCAGATTACATTTGTATCCTAATAATTCCAGCCCTCCCTCCCCCCCTTCTTTTTTAGTGAGCTGAAAGTGAGTGAAAAGAAAGTGAAGGTGAAATTAGAAAGGGGCATACCTGTCACAATTCAGGAAAACAAGCATCTGTACCAGTAATAAGGAGTGCATCACAGGTTATTTTTCTTTTAAAGAAGGCAGAGCATGTCTTTCTCATTCAGGACTGGGTGCATGCCAAGTTTAAAAGGTCTGTTTTGAGCTTTCAAAGTGAGAGCATGTTTCTTAAATAGGCACATGTTGGTAATATTTTTTTAAAAGGTCAAATAATTCAAAACTAGATGAATGGACTTTTATAGAAATTGAGTCTCTCTCATCTGAGGAAAAAGATGCTGTCTGGATTCAGAGTTCAAAAAAAAATTAATGCCCGCAGTATATTTTGCATTAATGATGAGTATGTGTTACAAGCAGGTCAATTAGAAATACATTGGATTAATTTTTTTTCAACATTTCTATATTGTATCTTGATGATTTGGTATTGCCATGATGAAATTTTAAAAAGTTCAAAATATTACACTGAGAAAGGAGAAGTCAGATGCCAAAGTATAAAATGGGTAACTAACTGGCTAGGCAACAGTTCTGCAGAAAAGAAGGGATCTGGGCACTGACTATGAGTGAATATCGTGATGCTGTTGCAAAAAAGGCAAACGTCATACTGGGATGCATTATCAGGACTGCCATATGTAAGACACACAGTTACAGTATTTCATTCTAGTGCGTACTGGTGAGGCCTCAGCTAGAATACTTTGCTGGAACCCAGACTGGGGTTCTGTGAAGTTTTGGGCACTCTGCTTTAGCAGAAATGTGGACAAATTGGAGAGTGGGAAGAGGAGAGCTATAAGAATGATGAAAAGTAAAGAAAGCGTGATATGAAGAAAGACTGAAACAATGGGGGTTTTTTAAGCTATGGAGGATATTAGTGTCCAGTATGTAAAAGTCTTAAAGAGAAGTTTGTTGTTATTCTCCGTGTCCACTTTGGGTAGGGAAAGAATTAATTTGCAGCAAAGAAGATTAGGGTTAGACATTAGGAAAAGCTTTCTGACTTTCAGGGTGGATAAGCCTGTCTCTCTGATATATCTTGTGGAAGTACAGACTTTAGTGGAAGTGGATAATGACTAAAACTTATCTTCTTTCTCCTCTGAGTCCATCCTGCCTGTCACTCAGGCCCATAACCTGGACACCATCTCTAAGATATGGCCTTTCCCATTCATCATCCATCCAGCTCAAATTCTCTTCCAGACACAAAGGGAGGAGAGCCTGAGTACTGCAACATTTCTTATTTTTGTCTTGACATGCAGTCATGTCCCTCTCACAGCCACATAAGGCATTTACAGCAAAGAACTTTATCTTCACCTGTCACTTTGTCTGCTGCCCTTCTTTTCACATCCTGCCACTGGCTCCCCCTTCTTTATCACATCATTCTCAAGCTGTTTGTCTCCATTTTTGAGGCTCTCTGGGGGTCTGTGCCTATTTTTTCTGTTCAGTGCTAGTTTTGGCATACAGATCTTGATTACCACCTCCAGTTAACCATAATCACTGCTTTTATCATCCATTTATTACATTTTTGAGCAAATGCTTTCTTCTTATAGTCTCTTTGCATGAAGGGAAAATTTTCTATAAACTTCAGCAGTTACCTCATCGTTACTCAGAGTCCTCCTTAAAGGTGTCAAGAACTTAGCAGCGTGTAGGACATTAGTGGGACTACACCTTGTCATACTGACCAGTATCGTCTCTTTGTTTCCTTGTCTCACTCTCTCACCTGTTTCTATTTTGGGTCTGTCCATTGTCTTCTGTCTTACACTTAAATTGTGAATTCTTTGAGCATGGACTGTCTGTTGATTCCCTGCTTGTATGAAGCCTATCAGATTGGGGTTCTGATTCATGGCCTGGGCTCTAAGACACTATTGCAACAGAAATACATTTCAGGCAGTACTCAATTAGCTTATGGGATTCATGGCCAGAGATTATCAATGAGGCCAAGAGCGCAGGAATGAAAACAACGTATATTTATATGAGTATTCCAAGTTACGTAAGAAAGATTTAAGAAGTAAAATTGAAGTTTGGAAGAAGTTGAAAGCCTTTTTCTTCAGGGGATAAGCTGGCTATGACTGGAATGAGTTAGAAAGAAAGGTCTTCTATAAGGAAGTCCTGTCTTAGCTCCTGACTGGAGGGTTTCTTCTATGTTACTCTGAAACACGGAGCCAGTCAGAACATTCTTTACTAATATATTCTGTTTTGTTATAGGCGTATTGCTTTTGGGAGACCCAGGCTAGTGTCTCTTCTTTCCAGTTTAGAATAACTGGGATGAACTTTGTTCTGCATCAGGCAGAGCAAGGACTCAAACCTGAGGCTTCAGTATCTCAGACCCAGTGTCTCACCAGAAAATAAAGAGCTAGACACTGACACTCATACCCTTGCCTACCTACACCTGTCCCATCTCACTTGCCAGCACAATTCTATTTTCATAAAAATATTTGAAAGGGTTTTATTTCATCTCAAGTGTGAAACAAAAGCCAACTCTGAAACCTCAAAAGTTGCTGCAGAACGGAGTGGTCTTCTGGTCAGTTTTACTTGAAACTTCTCAAGCTGTCTGCTTCTGGATATTAAATGTAGACTAGACAGACCATCAGTGTGATTCAATATAGTAGTTCTTATGTCCCTAAGCAGAAACCATTTTTGCTCCCATTACTGTTTTCCTATTCCAAGCTGTACCTTTTAACTAATGGCACAGCACTATGTTGAGAAAGTACAAAGGAGGCAATTAGGACAGACAGCTGTCTGACTGATGAAACAATCTTCCACCTAATCTAAGTAGCTTTTCACATAAAGGCCATTAACTGGGAGGACACACAAAAAGGAGGAAGTAAAGGGAGCTTTGTATCTTTAATCATGCCTGTCCAGAACTGGGCTACTGATTAGTGGATCTGGGGATTGACAATTAACCATGGGCTCCCATAAAACTGTGTTGTATTTATAGCATTTTATCCTGCTCAATATCTTTCCTACTCTTCACTGCTTTACTATTAAATATGATTTAATAATGATTGTTTATCACAAGGCAGAAAATAGTTGAAACCTGCTGCTTTCCATGAGATCTAGCACCTCATCTTTTCACTTGATTAAAATGTGCTGCAAGATTATCCGTCCAGTTTTTAGTGCCTAGTAACCCAATGCTGTCTTGGAGACATAAAGCTTTCCTTCTCAGTTTTTTTGCTGAAGGTTATTTGTTATGCATATTTGTTAGGATTAGTATACAATTCCTCCTGTTGTATTTAGTAATGCCTGTGATTTCTTTTGTACGTTGTCACTGAGAATTAATCCTAACTAGTACCTAATCTTCAGCTTTGTTTGGCTTCCTGTAATCACATTTTAAAGATGCACTTTCTCTTTATGAGGGTCCTTAAAAAGTACCTCACTTTGCTGTTGATCTGGATGTTAAGGATTAAAATGGTAAACTTTAAAAGAAAAAAAAGGTTGCTGTAAGATGCTGAAATACATTTATCAAATTAGCACCTTCTTCCCTCACTCCTTACCCTCCCCAGAGCACATGATCTTTGCCAGGACTACGATTGGCTGAAACCCAAAGCAACTCCCTCCTCACCCTCTGCCTAACCGTGGCTTTTAGCTATTCTTGCTCAAGGGTACCATTTATTTGTTTGTTGTCTGGTCAGAGTAGGCAAGTGGAAGCCAGGATTCTAGAGGCATTTATACAAATGCCCTGGGAGTGAGGGAATGCCACTGGAAAGCACCCAGAGTTTCTACAAATACTCCTAGAGCTGCTCTAATTGAAGCGCCCAAAGCATCTTGTATATCAGCATCCCCACACTGAAAAATGGTGGTGGGGGTGCTTTTACTAAACTCATTGAACCATGCTCCAGCAGACTCCGTTAACTGAATCTGCTCCAACACGCTGTAACTACAGCACATCAGAGCAGCCTCGCTGTTTGTGTATAGGTGCCGTAGGGTTCTAGGCCAATCTCTGCTAATGATTTGCATATCAGACCATTGGCAAATCACTTACTCTCCCAAGGGCCTCAACTCCTACCTCTGTGAAGCACAGATATTATCCCTTTTAGAAAAGCATAGCGATCCTTGTTATCTGTTTGCAAAGTGCTCAGAGCTCCTCTGCTATAGAAGTGCTATGGTGAAATGAATAGTGTTGGGCCTATTTTCTTAAATGTTTTAGCAATGAGTGCAAGAGGCAAGGATTTTTTGGAGTGATATCTTATTAGACCAACTACATTCTTTTTACAATTATGAAGATTTTTTTTTTATGAGCCGCATTTAACATTGGTGAGGATTAAAGTTCAGTGGAGAGCAGATCAATTTTACTGAGAGGCCAGATGTGCAAGGAATATTTTAATTAAATGTAGACTGTGCCAGCCAGCTGATTGGGTGGCTGACCCTTCTGCACTGATGAAATTTAAAGCCAAGGTTTGTAGCCACCAGAGAAACAGCAACTGTCTCATCTCAAGCAGCTTCGGCTGGTCAAAGATCAAGAAATTTATTCCCATTTCTTTGTTCCTACCTTTTCTCTTCACTGGCTCCTACTGCCTGCAGGTTGTAGAGGTTTATGGGATGGAATAACTCTCCACTTCTGTGGCTGCCTTGAACATGCAAGATGTTGGATGAAGAAGGGGTAATAAATCCCTGCCCTGATTGACCTTGGTCAAGTCGTGTAGGGCAGTGGTTCTTAATTGGTAGCCTGAAGAGCTGACATGGTTGGGCTGACCCTCCTACAGTGTTCCCCGGGTGCCAGGCAGCATTGTGGTGAGACTTTGGGCTGCTTAGTTCATATTACTGCCCACACAGGAAGCAGCAGAGCTACCTTTGTGCAGGCTAATTAGTCGGCCTTTCAGCAGAGCTAATTAGCCCAGGGACAGTGCTGCATAAAGGTAGCCATTTCTGATTCTGTTCTGGACCTAGCATGTGCAGAGCTAACTTAGATATCTCTGCAACGTGTCTGGCCAGAGGACCACAGGGGGGTGGGGATGTCAGGTGAGGGATCAGGGGATGGTCATGAGTTTGTATATGTGAGCCACTGATTTTTAATGCATGCCTTCCCTAGCTGTAAAATGAAGATCACAGTCCTCCTTTACCTCATAGTTGAAGCCCTGAGGATATGCTCATTACAGATCACTAGTTGCTCAGATACTAGATTACAGGGGGCCATATAAGTAACTGGAGTAGTAAGGCAGGCATGCTCCAGAGATCTGGGTTCTCTTTCAGATTCTGCTGTAGATTTCCTATGCAAACTTTATGAGGTCACTTTACCTCTATGAATCTTCCTCATTGACAAAATAGGGATATAGTTGGCCAACTTCAAAGGAGTGTTGCGAGACAAAAATCATTCTAAATACCAAATTTCTGTTTTGCTTATATCCAAAAGCCCAAATAACTGCTATGGCCAAATGTTAAAACCTCGTTTTCCTCTCAATGACAATAATAAGCAATATTTTTCGAAGATTTTTGGAGAGCTCACAACCACAGAAATCTTTCTAAAATAATTTCTGTTGACCCTAATAAGATAATGCAAGGAAACCTGGGTTGTTTGTGCTATTCTTTGTCACATGTAAATCAAGTTGGGGAGGAACCCCCCATCTTTCCAAATTTATATGAAGCTACCACCAACACTTTAACATGATGCAAAGGTTAGTGCTGCTATACTGTATAAATCACTAGGCCCTGTACACTTAAGGCTTAGTGCACAGGAATCTGAATATTACTCAGTTATTCTCTTATCCATCAAGTTCATTCTATACAGTGCTAAAAAATCTTCCACACTGGAAAACAGATAATGTAAGTATGTAATGACCAGTAGTAAAATCCCTGCCTTATTGAAATTAATAGTTCTGTCAGACTGTAGCAAGTCTGTGGTTTCACCTCATGAGAAATGTTTCACCTTGAATAGCAGCACAGCAGAAGACCTGTGTTTTTAGCATTTTGGGTTTGATGTTTTTGTGCTCAGTAAGCCTCAGCTTTTGTATCTCCTGTTTTCTCCTTGTTGATTTCAGCAAGACAAGGATTTTACCAATACGTTTTTGCAGAGATATATGAACAATGTTATTCTAACAACTGAATGAAGGTTGAAGTAGAGAGCCCCTTCCCAGGGTAGAGCACAGTTTTTAAAAGATCAGGTTTATGAACTGTCCTCTGCTCAACATTTCAGCCCCAAACGTAACACAAATGCTGTGTTTTGGCAGGAAAACACAGAGCTTTAGTAAGTAACTGCTGTACCTATGTTATGTAAAGTTCATTCATTATTAAGTGTGGGTTTTTTTTTCTCTGTGTGTACACAGGGCTCCCTGGAAAGATTATAAAAGCCATCCTTGATGAAGGATTTGAGATCTCAGCTTTGCAGATGGTAGGCATGCTTTTGTGCATTTTGTATGTCCAATGCAGTGCTGCATGGTGATTTTTATAAAGAGAGTGGCAAACACAGCTTGCAAAACTGGGAATATGGGCTGTCATAATAGAGATGTGCAATGGGGGGATATTCACTTGTCTCCCCTCACAGCAACAGTCTGGAGAGGGTTGATGAAGGGTCTAAGTACCTCCAACCTGTGACTAAGCAGCTAGAAACAGCTGCTGTGAACAACTGCTCCCCAGGTGTGTGGAGAGGCTTTAGTAATCTAGGTTGAGAGAAGCTATGTTCAGATAGATAAATACACTGCCAAGCAGTGAAGTTAGGAATCTTCAAGAGCTAGGATGGAGAAGTTTTCTCCCATTTAAATCAGTATCTCTGGCTTGTACCCAGAGTTGGGCCTGTAGTCTGCACCTTCCCTCCCCTGCAGAAAGGAGTAAAGACCCAGAGAAGAAGGGATCACTAACTGAAGAGGCCCACAACTGGGCATATGGCCCACTTGACTTGTGGGCCACAACTCTGTTCTCTCCTTTCATTAAGAGGAGTTGGGGTCCTTAAATTGTACAGAGTGAAGGGGTCATAAGTGACAAAAGACAAACTGGTATACCACACCTGGCTATATTAAACTACCCCATTGATATGATGTGAGCCTGGCTGGGAAGGAAAACATCTGTGGTTCAGAAGTAATTCAAACTTCATAGCTTATTTGCTCATTCACTGGGACTGCAACTAAGAGAACCAACTTTTAGCAAATTGAGATGATGGGTTTTTTGATCCCATCATTTTGGAATATGGAATACAGTTAAGGTGAGAAAAGAAACTGTGTTTTATGGCATGCAGTTTACTTAAAGTCTTGTCAACATGCTAAACTTACTATATCTGGTGCCCTCAAGTGCACCTTACTGCTCTGCACAAGCTATTTTCTGAGCCAGAAGAAGCATTGGAGCATCTGCACGGGCTGCTTGTCACTGCTGAGTTACTGTGCCATTTAGCAATGCCCCCGGCTAGTTACTAGGGCTATGTGAAGCTTCGGGTGCTGATTCAATTTGGAGGACATTCAGCCCGATTCGGCAGCTGAATCTCCAAATCCAAATTGAATCAGGAGACCCATAAAAAGGTCTGATTCGATTTGAAGCTCTCTGAAAAGATTTAGAAAGCTTCAGAGATTCAGGTAGACCCTGCTCACTGCTGCAGGGAGCTGGACCCAGACTCTGTGCTGATAAGTAGGGGGTGGGGGAAGGGGAGCTGGAGGAGATGGGAGGGGACCATGGGGGGACCCCCACCAGCCCCCATCTCCTGCCTGCTCCCCCCAGCCTCCCTGAGTGCCCCTGACCCCTGCCCTGTCTCCCAGCCCCCACCCCACCATGGCTGCCCTGCCTGGCCCAGTGCCCGGTTCTTTTTGGGGGGGGGGGAAGACCCCACTCACCAGCTGTTGCAGCAGCCTCGGGGCTTCTGGGGGCTCATGGCAGAACCCCCCCCACAGTGCAGGTCAGTGGGGAGCAGTGAGGATTGCCCCCTGCCTGGCAGCAGCTGGTGAGTGGGGGCTTTTATTTTTAAAGTGCCGGGAGCTGGGGTTGGGAGTGCAGGCAGGGGATGGGGGCTCATAACAGAGCTCCCCATGCAGTGTGGAGGCAGTGGGGATTGCCTCCCTGCCTGGCAGGAGCCAGTGAGTTCAGGGCTTTTTTTGCTTTTTTTTTTAAAGAGTAGGGAGCTGGGGCCTGGGCAGGGCAGCCATTGCAGGGGCTGGGAGGGTGGGCGGGGGATGGGGCCTGTCCGATTTGACAGCAGCTGAATCTCTGAATTGGATTTGGCCGAATCGTTTGGGATAGTGATTCAAATCATTGTCCCCCAAATTGGCCAAATCCAAAACAAATACTAGCCGCTTCTCACAGGTCTGCTACTTAGCTTACCTACATGGCTTTTTGATTGTGGTTGCACTGCTTTCAGTTTAGGGGCGGTGGTGTATTCCTGCTGCTCCAGGAATTGTATGAGAAGCAAGTTTTGTTTGGTAATACCATTTACTGGACCAATCGTATACTTGAGAGAGATGTTAGATAAATTCTCACAAAACAACCTACTTCTATTAACTTCTATGTGCTCCACAAGCTTGCTGTTATTTTTCTTTTTTTTAAATGGCCATTCTCATTTAACTAATGAGTTAAACAAAAGTAAAAGTTTTTAGCTTAGGCTGTATCTGTTGCATATTGTGCCCAAAAGCTTGTTCAAAATCTTTCCCAAATATATGGTTGGTCCATAAAAGATTTTTCCAAACAGATCTTGCTTCCCTCAGTTTAAAAGCCAGTGCAGAGTGTTTGAGGGTCCCAAAATCAGGTGGGGTAAGTTACCACCTAAGTGAGGCCTTAGAGAGTCATCTGCCAACTTCAGGGACAAAATATATTTGTTCCTTTTTGGTTGTTGGAAGTGTGAGCTAGGACCTATTCTGCCTCTTGTATCACCAACTACCTGCTTGCAAACACTATGCTACATACTCAGTCATCGAAAGCCATCCTTATAATCATAGGGAAGGCACCCCAAAACTTTAGGGATTATGTTAAATGATTATGGAGGTTTTTGGGGGGTGAGGGGTTGGTCATTTTTAAGCACCCTTCCTTATCTTCCAGTCCTGTTCCCCCTTTCCGCCAAGACAGATGGGCTAAGATTTTCATTCTTTTCTTTATGCAGTTCAACTTGGAGCGTGCCACTGTGGAAGAGTTCTATGAGATTTACAAAGGTGTTGTTGCTGAATACACTGTAAGTGTTAACTAGAAAATAATCCATTAAAAATATACAAGATAGTTAATGGAGAGGGAGTCACCTCTCCAAACAGGGATAGGTTTCCATCAGGAATCCAATTTTGACCATCCCTCACTTTGTTCAGAATGAATCAGTCCATCTGAAATTCTGCATGACGGAGTAGTCTCAGAGAGGAGAGTATTTTGCCAAGGTATGTCTGAAGCACAGATTAGAAAAAACAGAACTGAGCTATTTTGTTTTTGGTAAAACGGTCTTGTTTTTACAGTAATGTCTTGTTTTTGTATTTTTTGCTGAACTCTTAGAACTGGCTTGGATGTGAACGGATTTTTTTATGATGGTTAGGTGGTTAACTTTTAGGTCTTTTGCTCTTACTTCGGTGAGCCTCAGAGAAATCTTGGAATGTCAAGTATGCATTGTAACCTCAGTAGGGTTGGGTGGTTGCGTATATTGTAATGCCTTGCGATGCCAATGCAATCCATCAAGCAGTGGCACAGAATGTAGTAAGCCATTTTCTAAACAAGTGGTTCTCAAGTCTTTTAGACTCAAGCCATCCTTCGTTAGACTTAGGGCACCCCTCCATAATTTTGTGAATTGAGCAGCTCCCCATTTCAAAAACAGATTTAGTAATTGTAGTGCTTTCTTCTTTGCAGAGGGCCCAGGCAGTGGGAACAGGAGAGCAGCTAGGCAGGAAGAGTGAACCTGTGTGTGCTCTTATCTGGTTATCTCCTTACACTTCCTGCAGCACCCTTGAAAAAGTGTCATGGTACCCCAGGGTACCTTGCACCCTGGTTGAGAATCATTAAACTAAAGAATTTAACTTCATAGCCACCTTGTGAAGTATATAACTTACCCCAATTTTGAGAGACATATTAAGGTACTAATTCTCCAGGTAGATGTGGCTGTGTTGACTTTGATTCCTGGTACAGTCCCATTTATTTCAGTAGGACTTCACAAACATGTAAACATACCTCAGGGTGACCTCTCTGGACATTCAGAAGAGAATGGAGAGCTCTAGGAGGTCTCCTCTCAGAGCCCAGTACTTTAAACAACAAGCCAAGGGAAGACCTGATGGCAGGGCGAGTGTGTGTCACAGAACTCAGATATGGAAACATCTGGCCTGGTATTTTAATACAAGATGTGTAGATCCAGGATTTAAAAAAGAGGGGTGCAGCATAGCCGGAAGTTGGGTTGAGACAGCTGGAGATATCAGAGGAGAGTGAGTTGAGCAGGAAACAGAGACCCATGCAGCACCATTGCTACTATGTCTGGCAGAGCCCAGCACAGATGCTCCCTGCATCCCATAGCTGGAGTAGGGCAAGAACACCTCTTTTCTTCCCCACCCCCAGTGTGATCCAAAAGTGGGGTGCCACCAGATCACTGTGCCCACTCTGGATCTGCCCCTGCCTACAGGTATCCTATCAAACTGTAACTGCTTTTCCATCTGATGCAGCAGTTTCAGGCAAATAGTAACCCAGGCTGTTTTGCACAGTTCAGTCTGAGAGTTAACAAAGAGGGGGAGATTGAATGTAAAATGTTGAGGCAATGAAAATGAAGAAGGTTATTTTTCAGAGCAGGTATGAGATCAGGTTTGGGGCTGGGGTTCTTAGGAACTGACTTTATATGTCAAGTATGTTGTGAAGCAGAGTTAAGGAAAAATTAGTCATGATGGCAAGAGGTTTGGAAAATGCACTTGGTCCAGTGGTAGAGAGAGAGTGTCAGGCCCCTTCTACACATTACAGGTATCACACATTTAACAGGTTAGCTGGTATAACTACATGCAAAGTAGCTATCACTCCATAAAAAGCTCCAACCAGCTATGAAGTTAGACCACAAAAATGTGTATTAACTTTATAACTGGTTGCTATCGAGCTTTCATTTGCACATGTAGTAGAGCCTCCCCTGCAGCTGGGAGCCTCATCAGCTGATGGGGCTGCCAATAGGCCTGTGCAAAGTGGCTAGTATTCGCTTCGGATTCAGCTGATTCAGGGGACAGTGATTCAGTTTGGTGATTCAAATCACTGTCCCAAATCGATTCAGCCATATCACACAGGCCCATCCCCTGCTTGTTCTCCCAGCCCTGCAATGGCTGCCCCATCCACCCCAGCTCCCGG